TCTTTTAATTGTTGCTTTTTAAAAAAACTTATTAAAAAAAAAAAGCAGATAATTTTGTTTAGACTAGAAATTTCAGTCCTTTCTCAGCTTCTCCAAATTTTCTGTATTATTGTGACAAAATATGTCAAGTCTTCTAGACACTTTTAACCAAGACTGGTTATTTAAAGGATGGTACATTTTGCTGGACAGATTTATCAAATAATACGTATGTTGTAGTTCATTTGAATATGAACCTAACTATAAACTTAAAATAATGTAAGACTATTAAAACCAATGTATTGGTGAATCAACATTTAAAATATATGCAGGGCGTTTTAATGTTTATTTTTTGAGATACAGCCATTCCTAACTTGATGACCTACCTGTTTAATGACCCCTTGGACTTAGATCCAGCACAGTAAATCACTTCTTTTTTTTTTGGAGAGGTTTTCGCTATAGGGCGCATGCGCTCACCAGACAGACAGAGAGAGACAGAGAGACAGAAAGCGAGAAATCACCCCCCAGGAGGGATGGTCATGCCACAATCCCTTCTCCTCCATTCTCCTCTCGGGATCTTGGGCATGCGTGAATTTTAAGCCACCGGGTCCGGGACGCGAACCGTAGTCGACTACGTGGGAGTCCAGCGACATAGCCATTATGCTAACTGCTGGTCCCAGTAAATCACTTCTTAGTCTTTGTTTCATTGCCAGAGTTGGTTAGTATTCATTACACAAAACAGTCACAATCACACGGAACTACATATTTTGTTTATAAATTTGTAGTTTAATGTGCACCCATAGTAGTATTCAGAATAAATAAAACAATTATTCCAGATTTATACTGTTGTGTTTTGGTGTGTCTCATCACTTTCTGACGTTTGCCTAAGGTATGTTTTATGTATAACTAGAATTACATTATTCTAGTGTGGTGTCATGTGTTATCTATTGAAAAATACATACCCTGCAAGTGCCACAGCACACCGTAAGATATCTGCCTTTAACATCTTTGCTTAATGATCAATTTGCTTAATGACCAGTTGTAGGAATGGAACTCAGTCATTAAGTAAGGAGTGTCCATATTAAACTTTTAACCAACATTCCTCACTTCTCTCTTCCCTTTTTAAGAAGAGAGTTGCTGTATTCTTTGCCTTGGAAAAGGTTCATGGCAAAGCAGAATGTAGGAGCCTACAGAACATTTATCTCAATGGCTATAGTTTCCAGAACTTAAAGCAGGAGACCATTATGTCCATAACCTTTAGGAAAGCAGAATGGAGAGACTCTGAGAAGAATGTGGACAAGGTGCCTTCTGGTGCCTGTGGGCTACAAAGCTCTGTGCCCTTCACTCTATTCTTCAGTAGCTCCTCCACAGAAGGGACAAGACTCCTAAAAGCAAGGATTCCAAACTCACCAGATGGTGCACAGCCCTAAGCATGCAAAACTATGTGAAATAACAGGTGTAGACCAATGACCGAGGTTCTCGGAGCTTCACCAGGCTACCTAAGACTTGGAGATCTTTACATGCTCTGTGAAATGGGAAAAACTGTATGAATGTGTTTCCCACCCCATCTAATTCATGTACTGAAATCTGTTGAGCCATTATATAGTGTTAAGAAATAGAGACTTTATCTAATTATAGTATTAAAAGATAGTCTTTGGCCCTAGCCTTTGGAAAATGATAAGGATCAGGGTGGGGTCCCCGTGACTGGATACTTGTGGGTTTATAAGGAGACAGGGACATGCACATAGACTTGTGCTGCACTCTGTTCAGGCTCTTGTCCTGTGATGCCTTGAGCATCAGACTGAGATGATTTAAAGAAAACTAGGAAATACAGTTATTTATTCTATACATGAGTTTATGAAGAAAGTTCTTTAAGCATTCATATAGGTTACAGTTAACTTGTTACATTACTTCTTGCCATGACCAAATTGAAAGTATAGACAGTGCTTGTAAAGTTGAATTTTCTTTTATTTGGGGTTTTATCCTATTTATGTCAAGTTAAATGAAATGTTTCAATAGTTAGAATAGCTTAATATGATTTCTTTGCTTTAGGTAGATTAACAGATAATGTACACATGGGCTTATTTCTGCAAGGAATCTTAGCTAACATAGACTGGTGGGCTAGAAAAATGCTCCTCTGCTTTCTGAAGAGAAGTGAATTCAATTCATCTATTCATGTCAGATCTGTCAATCGTAATCTAATTTTAGTATCTCAAACCACAATTTCCTTGGAAGCAATTAGCACTAACCTTTTATAGCCTGGTTCTCCCCCATATTACTTGTGTCTTCAGTGGTTTAATTAACACAATCCTCTATGAAGGGTAGCTAAAATATCACAGTGCTCAATGAAAGAAAGCAAAACCAATCCCAGCAGCATATTTGCATTAATTTTTAAAAATAAATATGGTATCACTTATTGCTTGGTATAGCATTCTTTAATATTTTCATGAGACAATAAACTATTCTAGCACGTTCTTTCTGAAGGACTCAAAGAACTTTGCAACTATTACTATTTCACCAAATAAAATAATCTTTGAGATGGAAAAAGAAGATAAGTCAACTTGCAGATAACATAATAAGTAAGAAGGAGGAGAAAAGTATGGTTAAGGCCCATTGTGAGCTACTGGTGACTCCGGGGGGAAATAGATATTTTAACTTTAATATGTGCGCTTTTGGACCTCAGCTTCTCTTCCTCATGGCCATGGCATGAGAACTGTTCTCAGAGCAGAGACAGAACTCCTGTGGAAAGAAGAGGCGTGCTCCTCACCAGATTCTCAGGGCTGTGCAGTTCGTGCGTAGTTGAAGCGCAGCGTGTGATGAGGGACTTAAACATGGCACTGACGATAATACCTTCCACATTTTGGGCTGTGGATTTGTTGTCCACCGTGGTGAAGTTATTTCCAAACCCAGCCTTGTCTGAAATGCAAAGTCACAAAGTGAAAGCATTGTATCCTTTAAGCTACACAATTAAAAGAATAAAGGACGTGTGTAGCATTCAGGAATTAGTTAGGCGCTACATGAAATACTGAGAGGATTAAAAGTATCCCTGGTTTATTAATATCTATGCAGACCGGGGAATAAATTAATCATAGTCTCCTTCAGGGACTTTACTATGACATATCCAACTGTGCTTGTGGATTTATTTATTTATTTATTTATTTGCCATAGAGCATGTATGCTTGCTGGAGAGACAGAGAACAAGAAAGAGGAGGAAAGAAAGTATCCCCCAGGGATGGTAGTCATGCTGTAATCCCTTCTCCTCCATTCTCCTTTTGAGATGTTGGACATGCGCGCGCGCGCGCACACACACACACACACACACACACACACACTCACACAGCATGATTTCAAGTTGCTGCGTTTGGAACTCAAGCCGAGCAGCCAGTCATGTAGGATCCAGCCACTTTAACCACCATGCTACTGACTGACCTGCTTGTAGAACGTTTTGACTAATAACTTTTAACAAAAGGAAGGGAACCAACAGTTGACTTGAAGAAAGACTTTTAGCGACAGCAGGTGGTATGGAGGTTAAGGGACTGGATCTCACATGGCCGACTTTGCAGTAGAAGTCCTGAACCTGGTGGCTTGAAATCACACTGGGCATGTGTGGGCAAATTCCTAAAGAGCCTGGAGAAGAGGCATTGTGGTATAGCCACAATCTTCTCTGCAGGGGTTGGGGGTGATTTCTCTCTCTGGTGAATGCATGCACTCTATAGCGAAAAAAAAAAAAAGTAAGATTTTTAGGCCTAGAGTAGTCTCTAAATGGTTGATTGCTTAATCAAACATAAATAAATGCTTTGCTAAGTGGCTCTTTATTAATTTGATTTAACCTTTTTGGTGATGAGAAATGCTAGCTTCTTAGTAAAGACTATTCTATCTGTCAGGAATAGAATGAGGTGGGGCTAATCAGGTGAGCTGGGCAAGGAGAAGAAAGGGGGTAGAAGCCTGCAAGGGAACTCATACAGATACTGGAAAGAACTGAGTCTTGCAGAGCACATCCAGAAGCTTCCTGAGCTATAGAAAGGGAAAATCTCCAACCTCCCCTGGAGCTACCTGCTTCTAACTCATCTACCTGTGAAATGCCAGTGAACTGTGGTCAATCTCCATGACATTTCTGTATGCCAGTTTTTCATATATCCATGGATCTTTTGTATGAGAAACAGATATTCTCGGCCTTGCCAGAGGATTCCTCATGGTTCGTGACTATGGTAGACTATGGGGAAGGACATGTGCAGTTCCAGCATCCATCAGATGGGGACATGGGTCTGTCTGGCTGATACACTGTGACTCACTTCTATAGCTCAAGAACCCCAGCAGCAATTTATTACCTTAAAGGAATATACTTAACTCCCTACCTTTCACTATCTGTGCTAATGGATAGGGGTTTATCTCTAGATTTTACATTACTGAAAGAAATATTTCAGTCTATGCTTATAGTTTCTATCTAAGCCTAAAAATAGAGAAAACAAATTGATTTGTGAATAATAATTTCTCTTGCAGTGTCTCGATCACAATCCTTACTCCATTTTTTTAATAAAAGTTATAATGTGACTGGTTTAAAACAGCTCTTATGGTTTATTCCAAAGTTTCTGGAAAAGTAATGTTTTCTTTTAATGTGATAACAACAAAGCCTGGGATACAACTAGGGACACTACTTCTAAATCTATCAAATATATCCTCACTATAAATTAATGAGCTAGCATTGTACATGTATTATACAAACAATGAAAGTCTACATTAAGAAGTTATATCTTTCCAGACTGTAATTAAAATGTGCATTTCACAGGGCCAGCAGGTAGTGGGGTAGTCAAGATGCTGGACTCCCACATGGTTGGCTGCGGTTTGAGTCTTGGACCTGGTGGCTTGCTTTCTCACGTTCTCTCTCTTGCTGTCTCTCTCTGGTGAGCCTGCATGCACTAAAACAAATTTAAAAATAATAATAAATAAATAAAGCAAACTTAAAAAAAGAAGTACATTTTATTCAATTCGAACTTCATGCATCAATTGCATTCTGCATTTGTATTAAAATGGTACTAGAGGAACTTAGTTTACTATGAATACCACTGGCATTTTGCTTGTCTCCAAATGTAACTTAGGTCTTTTTACTGGAGATTTTTGTTTTTTAATTTTTTTTTTTTTGAGAGGTTTTGCTATAGGGCTTGTGCGCTCGCCAGACAGAGCGAGACAGAGAGACAGAAAGCGAGAAATCCCCCCCACCCCGGGGGGACGGCCACACCGCAATCCCTTCTTCTCTGTTCTCCTCTCGGGATCTTGGACACACATGCACACGCGCCCGGCGTGAGTTTTAAGCTATCGGGTCCAGGATGCGAACCGCGGTCAACTACATGGGAATCCAGCGACATAGCCATTACTCTAACTGCTGGTCCCACTGGAGATTTTTTAATGCCATGAAGCTATAAAATGGTTTGTGGGCCTATCTTTGGATTAATTTGCCTGTTTTTTTGTTTTTGTTTTTGTTATAAATTAAGACTTATTGCTATACTCTTTGTAATCAAATGTTATTATTTTTTTCTTTTTTACTTTATGAAAAAAATTGCCAGCCACTGTGCCTGGCACATATCAGGTAGTCATTTCATATTTGTTGAATAAGGGAACATATTCCTTTGTCCCATGATCACTCAGTTGTCATGCAACAAGGGGCCACGTGAGAGCATCCCTTGAGTGGCAGTATAAAGGTTGGAGGGTAAGATGAGGTTGCCACAAGCATTACCAAATTCCCAGTCACTGAGGTAGGTTGTCCTTGGAAGAAAAATGTATCATAAGAGATGATGTATAAGCTTTTCTTGTTAAGTACACACATGCACGTGTACATGCATGCACACATACACATGCACACACAATATCTTTTCTTCTAATTTCTATATCCACACATTTAGTGCTCCCCTGAACACTACCTGCTTTACCTCACAGCGCTTTGTCCCAGAACTGAGATGCAGCTTTACTTACTGTCTGTGACCGGCTCCATACAAAATCCTAGCAAAGCATGCAAGAAGTCCACTACATTATTGAGAGAGTCTTTGTTCACATAGTCCCTCATGGTTTGTCGGAACTGCATCTTATCTAGCTTGTATAGTTTAGTGAGGCAGTTCTGGGCCTGCAATGAAGGAAGAAAAGTGAAAAAGTCACAAGTACCAGCTTAAGCTACGGATATCGTTAGTCTAAGACAAGTCTTTTGAAGGTAAAGGCATCCCCACTGGCTGGAGCCAGCCAACCCTGCTAGCACCTTGTGTCTGGGTAAGGACTGAGCAGAGGCCATCGAGCAGTCCAAGGAAGTTTACAGTGAGACGAACTGCTTCCCAGGAAAACCTAAAGATGAATTTGGAAGCTGGGCCCATGTTCTATCTCTTGGACCATGTTTTTACTGAATATGGAGAGGCATATGTAATCTTTTTATGATTACTGAATAGACCTAAAAGATATTAGGGGAATTGCTCCATAAATTAAGCTGAGAGAGTAGGTAGAAAACTGGCCTGGTGCCCACTTGGGAAGTATTTAGAACCCTTGTAGAGGAAGCCCTGGTGGGTTAAACAATAACAGCCTCTCAGCAGCATCTAAACTGGCTAGCTCTCTTTTCCAAATCCAGAAAGACAGGTTTTGGTTGCCAGAGCCAGCAAACACCTCCAATTCAAGCATGCCACCTCTTAGTATGTTTTTAGTATTTAATTTTATGAAATTACTCTGCATGGCAAGTGATGCTGTTTATTTAGCCTTGAAGGTGTTTATTAGCACTGCAATAGAATTAAAAATCAAAGATCAACAAATCACATACATACGTGCAAAGATGGAGGCAATGCTGACTTTTTATTGTCTTATTAACTATTACCATTTTTTAATTTGGGGCCTCAAAATCTAGATTTCAGTCAAAATGTTCAAGTTGCAGAATTTAAAAATTAATTACTGTGACTATAACCCCCCAGATACATATAATAACTAGAGTAATATAACATGGTGGAACATAAAAGAGAAGCGGAGAAGACAAATAGATGGGTAGGTAGACAATACATGAAGTAAGAAACCAGCATGCTGATACTGTGTGAACATTTCAGGACAAAACCTAATACCAAAGAAAAGTGGGTGGGCATTAGATTCTGACATGATCTTAAAACTCTGCCAAGACACACTGAAGGGTTTCCCAGGCTTGAATTTGCATCAGGCCCTTATTTTTTTTATTTTTAAGGTTTTTGCTATAGGGCCCATACACTCCCCAGACAGACAGAGATGGTGAGAGGGAAAGTGAGAAATCTCCCCCTGGGGGGAATGGCCACACCACAATCCCTTCTCTTCCATTCTTCTCCTGGGATTTTATGCATGCATGCATAAATTTTAAGTCACTGGGTCTGGGACTTGAACCATAGTTGGCCATGTGGAAATCCAGCACCTTAACCACCATGCCACTTGTTGGTCCCTCAAAATTTTATTTTTAAAAGAATATTTTCCTGTCAATTTAAGTCAAACATAGAATGAGGCAATGGTCCAGTTTGAACTTGCCATGGAGGTGGGTCATTGTTCAAGTTGAAAGAAAAAAGTAGCAGACAGTGGAGCCAAATGAAAATGAGCTGGAATGAAAGCATGTTCCATCGCAAGACAATCTTGGCAAACCCAAGGGCAGAGTTTCAAGTTTCACACAGTTCAAAGGGACATGATCCCAACTATCTAGAAGATTCATTCTCAAACAAAGCAGCCAGAAAGTGACTGGCCACTTTTATAGTCCTGTATTGTCCCAATAAGGGCCATTTTCCATATCTAAATAAGAATAACAAATAAGTCCTAAACTTTTATCCTTTTCTCTAATATGACAGATACTTCTACTGCACCCAGGCAGATGACTGAAAAGCCATTTGTCGTAGGCCACCAGAAGCTTGCTAAAAATATTCATCTGTGCAAAGTTCTTTCAAACTACAATTCACAGATTCCAATTATACATCCTTTTACCAATTGGGAGTTGATCTGCCTTAGGCAGGAGGAAGAACTGTTTTCCCAATTAAAGTTTTCTAAGCTCAAATTTAAGATGTCTTGAGATATGTTGTGGGAATTCCCCCACCCCAAGATTGTATTAATTACTCCCCTAAAAATGCAATTTTTTTTTAAGGGAACACTGACCCTCATTGTCAAAGGACTCATTCCTAAACTGGTGGGAGGGATGAGGAAAAGGAAATGGAATCTACTTTAATTCTCTTACATTCTCTCGGAATACCTGGTGTCTCAGACGATCTCCAGAGAGCCCTCGGTGTCCTTCTCCGCAACCATAGGCACATCCCAAAGACTTCACTATTTTGATGAGCATGGTTAGAGCAAGCCTATGGTTGCTTACTGGTATACTTTCATCCTAGCACCCGTGAACAAGAAAGAGAATTTACTTTGCCACCAAGATCCTTTACTTTTAAGATTCTATAATATTTATGATCAAATCAAGCTTATCTGTTTTATACTGAGTACCTGCAATTTTGGAAGTAATTTTATCAGGGGCTCAATAAACAAAATCTAGGGACCAGCAGTTAGCGTGATGGCTATGTCGCTGGACTCCCATATAGTTGACCATGGTTCAAGATCCAGACCGGTGGCTTAAACTCACACCAGGTACGTGCGTGTGCGTGCCCAAGATCCCAAGAGGAGAACAGAGGAGAAGGGATTGCGGCGTGCCATCCCCCTTGAGGGGTGATTTCTTGCTTTCTGTCTCTTTGTCTCTCTTTGTCTTTCTGGCGAGTGCATGCGCCCTATAGCAAAAACCTCTCCAAAAAAACAAACAAACAAAAACAAACTAACAAAATCTATTACATTATTTAAAACAAGATAAAAGATCTCTGCATTTGAACATCCTCTGGTGCTAAAGAATGTGAATACATACCTCTTTATTAGAATATATGCTTTTATATCCTTGAGAAGCTATCAGAAAAATTACCTACAGAGACAATGGAAACTCTTAATGATAACCTTGAAATTTCATGGCAAATGTTGACATTTTTGAGCGATTTTCTAGTTGTACATTTTTTGCTGTATTCAATACATATGTACGAAGTGAGAATATACAGGACTATAAACATTCAGCTTGATTTTTTCTTAAAGTTAAATAGGAAACACTCTTGAAATGAATTATGAGAATTATTATCATGCTCTTATTTGCCACATTTAATCTTTTTTGTTAGTGGAGAACATAACTTTCAAAAAAAATAAAAGAACTTCCTTGAATTATTTCCAAAGTACAATAAGGAAGTTGTTGGCTGAAAAATGGTGCAGAGCCAAGTGTGGGAGAGTCATTATCTCTGGGAAATTACAACCTGCCTTGGTCTTGCTATCTACATTCTGCTGTCATGGACCTAGGGTTCCAGCTTCTGGTCCTCAATTGCACATAATGTTAGATAAGTTAACCTCTTTCTGTTTTAATTTCCTCACTTGTGAATTAAGGATACTAACAGCTGCCCATCCTACTTCATAGATATTCTTCTTTTTTTTTTTGAGAGGTTTTCGCTCTAGACAGAGAGAGACAGAGAGACAGAAAGCAAGAAATTACCCCCCAGGAGGGATGGTCACGCCGCAATCCCTTCTCCTCCATTCTCCTCTCGGGATCTTGGGCACACACGCACACACGCCTGGCATGAGTTTAAGCCACCGGGTCTGGGACGCAAACCGCGGTCAACTACGTGGGAGTCCAGCGACATATTCATTATGCTAACTGCTGGTTCCCTTCATGGATATTCTTAGCAGAGCAAAAGAAACAATAAAAATTGCCTTGTGAATTGTAAGAAACTTTTCGTAGTCATGATCATGATCAGGTTGACATATAAACTTCAGAGCTAGACATAGCAAAAGTCAAACATGGGTGAAATGTCAAAGGGATAGGGATTATCTAGACGTTGTCATCTAGAGTAGACTCTCTTTTCCTAAAGCTATACAGTTGGTCCTTCCCTTTCTATAAGCTCATGTAGGGGAGATATGCTGGATCCCAGAGAGTCCCTGCTCAGAATTGAAACATTAATTCCCTGACCTGATGGAAACATTAATGGCTGCCCTCAGCAGAATGCCTTTCTAGGCTCGTTCCATCTAGGTAGGTACATATGCTCCCCAATACCTTGTTCTCTTCCTGGAGCAAGGTATCTCCAGTGGCTGGCCAGGGGCAAAGTCTATCTCTGGTCTATCTCCAGTGACTAGCCAGGGGCACAGGCAGGGAACTGTTATAATCCTTTGAATCTCCTGGAGACTTTCTCTGCCCCATCATCCTTCCATATATCACAGATGTTGATTCTGAGAGGATGCCACACTAAAACTCCTACATATGTATCTCCATTTCCTTTGCCACCAAGGAAGATCCTTTTGCTTTTAAGATTCTGTTTCCTGAAATCCCTAATAAAACAGCTCAGCAGGTTTCAAATAGAAGACTCAAATTTATCAATAGATGTTAATATACATATATTCTCTCTATATATAAACACTCATACATACACACACACACACACACACACACAGTCTTCTCAAAAAATTTATACTTTAACTCTATTTTTTCATAAACTCTTTGAAGTTTCCACACATGTTTGTATGTTGGTATTATTGATACCAAAATTTTCTTGCACCAATATAGATTCATACTTTAACTCTATTTTTTCATGAACTCTTTGAAGTTTCCACACATGTTTGTATGTGGTAATCTGGAAGTGATTGTTAGTTAGGATGCAAATCTTGTTCCAACAATTATTTACTAACTCTATAACCTTGGACAAGCTACTTAACCACTCCATGCTCTACAAAATGGAAATCGTAATAGTACCTATCTTACAGAGCTGTGAGAGTTCAATGAGTCAAAATATGTAAGGCACAAAATAATAGCAAACTAATGTTAATAATTATTTCTAGGTGTGGGCTACCATAATCCTCTGGGCACTTTTATAAACGTTAGTAAAGATACTCCTCTGGGTAGATGAATTGGAAAAGGTGAGCCCTCTGGGCAGATGCAGACTTTAGTTGAATGACTCGATGAGCCCAGCTTGGACTGGATTCAATCTTCATCGGTTCCCCTTAGTCAGACTTTGCAGCCATATGCAGGGGTGCCTCAGAAAAGGTCACCCTGATCAAGGGCTTATCTGGAATATTGGCTTACATACTATTTTTTTTAAGAGAGATTTTTGCTATACGGCAGGGGCACTAGCCGGAGAGACAGAGAGACAGAAAGCAAGAAATCATCTCCCAGGGGGATGGCCACACAGTAATCCCTTCTCCATTCTTCTCTCCTTGGGCACCCATGCACATGCGCCCAACTTGAGTTTTAAGCCTCCAGGTCCAGGACTCAAATCGCAGTCAACTACGTGGGAGTACAACGACTTAACCTTTACACCGTCTGCTGGTCCCACCTTACATACATTTTAAATTGCTATATATGTACTCCTTTAAAACTTCTCTAGTTCTGACAGCTCTTTGTAAGTCTATATTCAAGTTTTTTATTTCTTTAGACTTTCGGATGTCTTTGAGTTGCCCTCATAGGCTATTCAGCAAGACATATCACAGATTCTAAGTAACATTTTGAGCTTCCAATACAAGTTAGTGGCAAATATAGACATGGAAATTAGATCTTCCTTACTACTTTAATCAATTCCCCATGACTCTGATATTATAAGGTCGTGCAATTATATAAACTCTATGATTCCAATAAAAATAACAGATGGCCTTGCAAACAAAAGGCCTCTAGTGATACCAGGCTTTATTTTATAAATTCTTTGTACTAAAAAGAACATTATTTATGAGTACTAACTATAAAGCAGTTAGGCACATCTTGGTGACCATTTAAGAGACCACATAATCTGACTTTAAAAAATACCATACAGATAAAAAGTGGTAGCTTTGATCAAAATTAGAAGTAGATATTCATAACATTTATAACACCAGGTTATAGTATTTGGAATAACATCTAGATTTTAAGGCAAGAGACAGCAAGTTTTCAGCAAAAAGTCAACAAAAATATAACTTAAGCAAAACTTTAGATCTAAAATGTAAGCAAAATGCTGATAATGAACTTTGGAGATGCTTAGCATAAATAGCAAATACCTCATTAATTTAGTTGAAATCTAGGCTTTAATATAAAATTTTATCAATATTTCATAATTTTCTCTTATTTGTTCCTTCTCTTCAATATTCCCTTGAATATTGTGAAAGATATAACATTATCTATTATCTCTTTGAATG